AACTAAAAGTTGCATTTCTTAGTTTGACTGTAATTCACGTTTTCATTTCTCTCGTCAGTTAACCAAACGATACAAAAAATAGTAACCAAACAAATAAAATACTTTACGATTACTTCGTTTTCCTCAGAAATTGCTATTTTAGAAAAATGGTTGAATAAAGAAATTCATTCAACATTTCTCTCAACAAATATATAGAGCACTGAATAAACAAAGCGAATAATTTATGCCGAATATAATAATGCTGTGATTTTTTCTAATCCAACAAAAAAGCAAAGTTTCTCCCCATTTATACCGTAAAGTTTGTGTTTCGCTATCTATTTATATAATATACAAGTCATACAATACACACACAAATAGTTTTTTATTTATTTATATACAATAATCTTAATAAATTGTATACCTTTTTGTATAACACACTAATTTATTTAATAAATAAAACATTGTATTGATATTTACTGGTGATTATAATATACACATACAGTATATCTCTATCAAAATATTGAATTTAGGATCTCATGGCTGTTTCATATGGTTATGCATTTTTTGTGTGGTTTTATGATTTTAAAATCTTATTTAATAAGAAATTAAATATTTTTTCTAAGAGAGACTATTTGTATTCACTGATCCGTGAAATAAAATGTATGAAAAGTTATAATGCAAAGAGAAAAATACAATCAAATAATAAACTAAAACTAAAAATTCAGGACAAGAATTAAAATTTGTGCACAAATTTTTATAAAAATAATGCATTGCATATGTGTTCACAAAAACACAAACTAAATATAGTGTCAAACGAGAAAAAATTAATGGCAATAATTCACACAAATTACATACAATAACACTATTTGTTTGTATCTATTATTCCCATGACTTTGGGTTAGAAATTATTATATAATAAGATAAATGAATATAAAATAGGTTTTCCCTAATTATTGTCCGGACTTATAAAATCGTCAAATAATTATTATTTAATTGCATTTATAAATAATGAGATACAAGTCGTCATGAAATTTAAATGTCCGTAAAATTTGCAAATGAATACTAAAAACAAGAAATTTTCTCAAAATTTTAAAACAATTAAAGCCTAAAAACGCGATCGTATTCTTGCTTTTTGTCTTGTGATCACAAGTTGTGATTCACAACATTTTTTCCGCACAAACTTAATGTCAAATCTCACAACAATTACAGCAATGAATATATAATATGTCAGTAGACTATAAACGATGGATTGAAATGAATACAAAATGAGACTCTTCTGCGAGAAAAACAGAGTATTAAATGAAAACAATTAGAGAAGAAGAAGAAGGAGAGAGAAAAAAAGTTACACAAAAAACTCATGTCTTCGAGGAATAAGTTGTGGTGTTTTGTAATCCGTGACAGAAAACAATTATATCATAAGCGAGTGAAAAAAAGGTGCAATATTTTTACCAATATTACGCTAACAATACAACTCAATACAACTCAATACAACTCAATACATACCACTTTGCCGTCGATATCAATGTTTGCCACATAATTGTCGAAAACAGTTGGCGTGTATTCTTCGGTGAACAGATTCTGACAGTAGGCGATCAACAGCGATGTCTTACCACAGCCACCGTCGCCCACAACCACTAACTTCTTCGTGAACGCCATTCACCGCCACAATAATCACTATAACTCTTGAGGTCCAGAAGGAGTGTAATGTTTGAACAAAACTTTTCGTTTCCCACAATTTTTTCGGTTCACAGTATATATAAAATGCCAATAAAACCAATAGAAAGTCACGAACGCATTGATCGCGTCATTGGATCTATTCATTCAATGATTATATCATAACGTTTTAATATAAAGTTCTTTATAAAAAACTTTCATAAAATTATATACTGATGTAAATTGTTTTTCAACACAAATGTTTAGCACATTATAATTATTATTGAATTTAGTTTTGTTTAGACCAAAATTGCACACAAAAACAGAATGAGAGAGAAAACTGTTAAAAAAGTGAGAGAGAAGTGTATATTACAACATAAGTGGAGGAAAAGTGTTCATTGGATGCCAAGTATCCAAATGACTACTTCATAGATACACAAACTCTTATTGAGAGTGCGAGCACTGGTTCTAACAACAAGTATAGCGAGTGATGCGATTGCTGTATGAAAACCTTGAATGATGTGTTGAATGAGGTTTTTTCTATGTAGTGAGCACTTGGAGTGAGCACTCGGTTGAGGTGAGGGTGTCCTCACTATATGGGCCACTAATTGCTAAACCGACTCAACCGACGACTGAGAAACACCTTTTCATATAATAAGAGTTTGTATGCATTTCTCAGCAGTCGCTAAACAATAGGTTGCAATATATCTATGTTTTCTCATTAGCCATTGACGGCCAACTCATTCATTCAAACGACAACTCATTTCATATTTTTTACTCTCTTATGCAATGAATTGAAAAAAGGTTTTTTAAAAATTATATTTTACTTCTGTTATTATTATTATTACAGCAAAACATTTGTCTAATAATATAGCGTATAATAGTATTCAGTAGTCGTACAGGTTTTTGATTTTAGCGAAAAATCAATATTTTATTCATTGGCACGTATTTTATCTATAATTATAAGTTTATAATAACATTAATTTTGAAAAACATTTTTCTTATTCTTCTGTATTCAGTGCTAATTCTGATATCGATTACAAATTTGACGTATAATGAGAACAACAATAAAACTATACTTTGGTTTTTTATTGAGTGTTTGCAAAATCAATATTAATAAACTTGGTATTAATTTAATAGCACTGATATTGTAGTAATAAGGGAGCGAACGGACAGGTTGTTGAATATAAGGTGGTATTGTGTTAAATATTAATATAACAACACATACAGGGTGGAGATTAATGGACTTGACCATTACAAAGTCGAATATCTCGCAAAGTACTCGGTCTAAAAATTCAAATGATATATAAAAATCTTCATCAACTGCGGGAGTTTTTGTTATGATATGGTCAATATGCTTGACCCCCTATTTTAGGAATAATCTCAAATCAATCAAAATTTTGTCATTTTTTCCATAGACATAATGTTAAATTCAAACGTGTTTGTGAGCAAAATCCTGAAATAAGTCTCAAGTAATTTTGCTTCTGTTTA